ATAGATAGATAGATAGATAGATAGATAGATAGATAGATAGATAGATAGATAGATATATAGATAGATAGATAGATAGATAGATAGATAGTAAAGTGTGACTACATAGCTGTCATTACTTACCCTTGGGCTTTTGTAGTCGTCACTCTTAGTCTTTGTCCAGAATCTCCAGGAAGAACACGAGTGTCTCACGGCCTTTGTAAATCAGATATGATAGACTAGGCTTAATTTACTCACTTACTGTACCAGTACAACAGTTTTTTATGTACAATGTTGCACTCGAAGGTGACAGATTTATATATAGTCTATAATTCAGTTGTAGTTTAATGTTTGGTTTCTGATTTTTTTGGGTCGTTTTGCTTTGTTTTTTGTTTTTTTTTAATTGTTGTTTTTGTTCTGTTTTGTGTTTGTTTTGCTTTGAAGGGATATTTTATCAATTTTTCCTGTTCATACTTCTCCAGCTGCTTCTGAATAGCAGTTTCAAACATTTACAATGGAATTGAATTGAAATGTATATGTTTCCTACATTCGCACTGACTGCCACTGTCAGCCTTAAGTAGGAGCCTATAGAAAATGTGTTTTGATGGGTTATTTTTAATTCTTTTCTCTCTTTTCGCCCCCATCTGTCGATGTGTTGGGTGAAAGGTATGTAAACCCGATGTTGGATCAGTAAGTCTTGAGGGGGGAAAATCAATGCCGTATGTTGTGATTTCGAAGGAGAAAAGAGTAGTTCAGGCGAGATGAGCGCAACAGGAGGTGGCAAAACAGAATCCATATGAGTGCGTTTTGCATAAACACGAGGTAAAAATAATATATGCTACGTGGGGAGAGAGCAGGCCGGTGTGTCCGTTTGTCGCTCGATAAATTCAAAACAAAGTTAGATCTACCGGTAGGCCTTCAAGGACAGCGCGCCAACCCTTTCCCTTCTCATGCGCACACTCATTTATGGATATTACATTGTCATAGTGTGCCTGTTGTGCTTATTTCAACGTGGCTGGCTTGGACGTTATCAATCTACGTTTGTTGATATTGGTTTTCTTGGTTATGACACAAGGAGAGTCTCTCTCTCTCTCTCTCTCTCTCTCTCTCTCTCTCTCTCTCTCTCTCTCTGTATTATGTATGTGTGTGCGTGCGTGTTCGTTTGTGTGTGTGTATGTGTGTGTGTGCGTGCGTGCGCGTCTAATCAACAACAACAACAATCTTTATGCCAATATAATCATTTTTTTAAATTGTCGAATTCAAAATGTATGTTCACGTCACCTGGTGCAACAGTAAAAGAAAACAAAACCACTTTAAACGCTAAATCAAATTGAGTCTGTCTAAAAAGGATTAAATCTGTTTTCTTCACGGAAGAGTCGGCGGCGCAGATCTAGAGTTACATGTTTTACTGCCGACCAAACTTAGTTTTAGTCATCCTGCAGGCTGATATCTGGCGGCCCCAGATATTTTGCGCGTGCAGAGGTGTCACAGTTCTTTTAGTTCACCCGGGCGACTTTGAAATGTCATTCCAATTTTTGAATATCGGCTAGCCTAATGCCTAAAATGAAAGCACAACAATATAATCAGCGCAAAACAGACGCAGGTCGGCGACAATTGTTAGGGTAAGTCCGAATTCGCGTAGACCTGTGTGGTGGAAAAGAGAAGACACAAAGTGGGTGCCGTGTGGCGTGTGTATAGATCTCAGATTGCCAATTTTCTGGCGGCATAGCGGAGTAAACTTACATAAATTTAATGAGGACCGTACATCTCTGGCAGTTGGTGGACAGCTGCTTGTGGTGTAAGGGCGCAACTACTATGTTAATATTGACGAGTTTTTTTCGTACATTGACAAAACCTGACAATAAGAGGGGCTGGTGGTACAACAGGGGCGGTAAAACGACCTTTGACTGTTCCGAGTATCTGTGAAAAAAAGGTGAAATGGTGAAATGGTATGAGTTTAACGCCCCTATCAAGACTATTAGGTTATTTAAGAGGCGGGACCTCCTAATTTAACGCCCGTCTCCGATAAGACCGAGCCAAGTGGGAAGTTCGTGTAAAGTGCCTTTCCAACCAAAGGACACAACGTCGGACCGAGCTGAGGCTCGGACCCCCGAACCCGCAATCTCACGATTACGAGTCCGGTAGCCTAACCACTAGGCTACCGATGACGTCAGGATATCTGTTTTTCTGACGGTTTTTCCCTTGGCTGCAAAGCAAGTCCTTCTATTGCAACTTACGATGTCAAGCCTCGGCGAAATGCTTCTGTCATTCTTTCACTTTTGTTAGCGGCCTAGGTTAATGCAGCAACATTCTAGGAAATAACAGAGCAGACACCCTTGCCAAGAAGAGAGCATCATAAACATAACCCAAAAACTAGTTTCACAAAAGACAGTCAAGATCATTAAATGCAACATCGGGGAACAAAACAAAACAAAGCAACAAAAAGGAAGAAGAAACTACGCCGTTCGACTCCCATACTTGTAGGCCTACAGGTAATTTAAAAAAGGAAACAATAATGATAAATATATGTAGTGCGTTGTATTTGCCTAATTACAAAGTTGTGACTGTATTAAGATCTAAAAAGTGTCAAAATATTAAAATATTAGGCAGACTTGACCTGGAGCTGCTTCCATTAATTTTTCAGTTCAGTTAATAGTTTTATGGCGCTGGTAAC